TTGTTTCAGAGGTACAGTTCTGAGATTCAACAGTCTTGCACAATTCACAGCGCTTACCAGAGCACATACCCTCCCCAGTGTCTATCACCCAGTCACCCTATCCCTCCCATCCCACCCCCCATTTCAAACTGTAATAATACCTGCCCAACCAATCATATTGAATAGGTAAAAAGCTTTGTTGGTTTCTGAGTTGTTCATAGACTCTTGTTATTCTGTTGATTAACTTTTTGCCTTCCTTTCAACTGGTCCTTTTGTTACTCAATATTTAGAAGTGTGAAGGGGGAGTTGAGAATTCTCTGCTTGGTCTGATCTCATAGGTCACTGTCAGAAGCCCACGTGGATTTCAGGCTTGTGGGTGGGGTGATACTTGATTCAAGCAGATACTCTATTATGGTACAGACCAAGCCAGATAAATTCTAAGTCCTACTCCCTTGTTTTTGTGTGCCTTTGGCTTGGCCCAGGTTTGGAAAGAAAGCAGTGAGAAACCAGGTGTGAATCTGCCGATGTGGCAGACCAGAGGAAACTCATAGGCTATTAATTCAATTTGCACTGGCCTGTCACAGAGCAAGCTAACGCTGCAGGAAGAATCAGCCCAGCTGTGAGCAGCCTTGCCACATGCTCAGCTCCAAGAGGCAGAGCCAGAATTGAGGAATGCAAGCAGGGAAAGTGACTTTTGTAGTTCTGATGAAATTTCAAAGGTCATTAAGGGCTCTTTGCAGATGGACTGGTAAACAGGCATCCTAGTGAGTCCTAGTTCAAGTGTGTGGGCAAGCACAGCTCTCTTTCCCATTGCAAGGCACCTTTGATTAATAAACCAAATCTAGAGAATCACCACAGGCAAATGTAAATCTCCCACAGGGCACACATTTTCCTGAAGCCAGGGAATTAAGAGCTGGGTTTTACTTATAAGGTGACAAATTAGGAGTCAGGTTTCTATGCCCATGAAATGAGAAAATTCCTTAGAACCACAGATAATGTTTTTGAAGGAACAATTGTGGTAAGACTCAGGTGAACAGATCCGGGTACCTGAAGGCCACAGATATAAATTGGCCACTCCCACTTACAAAGTTCAGTGAAGGGAATTTGTCACTTAGGCTCACTGTAAACTTCATGTGTTTGAGCCTGTGTAATAGCTAGATTTTTTTCTTTTTCAGGAGGCGGGATGGTAGAGTGGTGGTGGGGAGACAAGGCTGCTTTATGGAACAGGGTCATAAGAGGAAAAGAGAATGTATCTAGATTTAAAAGAAACATTGTAACTGGAAGACAACAGAGACAATTGAATTTTAATATATTTGTTGAGACATTTTTGTGAGTAGTCACTAAATTATACCTTAAGATAGTTATAGATATAAATAATAAACATAGAACATTGTATGTGACAATGAACTTGAAGAATAAAATCAAAGAGTGTCCTTCAAGAAACTATAATCTGTTAAATCTTGAAACTTCTCAGCAAAGCAAATATTTGGATGGCAGACATGCCACAGGATGAGGACTGGCTTTTATTGCACTTGACTTTCAGAAGAGTAGTTTTCTGAAAGGTGCCTGTTAAGTCCTAGCTATCACAGGTGTGGAAGGAGAGTAAAAACTAGCAAGAAAATGTATCTGGAAGAGTTGGTTGAAGAAGGTGAGCAAATTCATTGGGGAAGAAGGCCAACTGAATTTGACTTACTAGAGCCTCGTAAATATGAGTGAGTGAGTGAGTGATTGTTATTTTTACTTTAATTCATGAAAATTTTCCTTCTGTGGTCTTTGACAACTCAGTTATTCTTACATTGTCTCCTTTGTCATGAAACGAAAGCTCTGAAATTGTCTTACCAGAAATGCGTCAGTGGCTGTAATAATATGTCATAATATGCCACCTAAGTTTGAGAAACAGTGACAGGAGAGAGCATACCTGATCATAAAGAAAGAAAGGGGAATTGTACAAAATGGGTATGGAAGCATTTCCTTAAAACCTGCAGATTTTAGCCTCTGTGTATCTAGAGAGGAGTCTGTAAGGCTTTAGATGTCAAATCTGAGGGAAAACACTCCAGGCTTTTGGATGAGCTCATTTTTTTAGAGCCACCCAGTTTGCTCTATAAGAATTGGTAGAGTCCATTTCCAAAATTATGTCAAGCAATGTTGGAGAATTTTGTAGCAACTAGATCCCATCTTCCATGTTGTCACCAAAAAATAATTGATATTAAAGAAATACATTCTTTCAAAGAAAGGTTATCCTGCCTCCTATCCACCCATCTCCCTGCCCTCCTTCTGTCTGTTGAGCTAAACAACCTTCTGTATCTTGCGTGTGTGTGCACACACACATGTATAAAGTCTGCAGAAAGCACCATGTGCATTTTGTAGACAGCATCTACATCAGTAGCTGTTTCAGCAAATGACCATTATTGTTGTATTTTTGCCAGTCCACAAAATTGCCACATCTTTATTTACTCTATGCCTGGAATCAGGGGTTTTATTTTGCTTTCCGGGCTTAGGGGACCCAGAATAAACAACATAGTGTGATAGCAACAGTAAGTACCAGAACTGGGAGGTCTACCTTAACCTAGTACGCTCGCTAAATGCTATCCAAAACACACAAACACAGCTGTCAATGCAGGGGTCTTGTGAATGATTCCACTTCTGAATGTCTCCATCCTGAAGTCACTGATGATGTCAGTTTTGAAATGTGATAGTGTTGGATTTTGTTATTCACATCAGGTTATTTTGGAAAATTCACTGCAATGAGAAATAAAGTGAAAGCCGCATAGATGTATTCATCAGATCTTACTACAGAAGTCACCTATGACTTTAAAGATCTGAGCCCAATTTCTGTCGTAGTCACTTAGGTTACAGTCTCCCTATTGTAATGAAAAGGGAGCACATTTAACAGGATGGATTGTTTCTTATTCAGTATTATACAGTAATGATGCAGTAGGAAAGGATCTAAAGGGTCTCCTGGATTTATGCTGCAGATTTGCGAATGAGCTACTGTTACGCAAAGTTTGAAGGAGGAAAATGTTCATCACCCAAATCCAGAAATCACTCCAAACAGGAATGCTGCTGTGCCTTGAAGGGAGAAGGTTGGGGTGATCCCTGTGAGCTGTGCCCCACTGAACCTGATGGTAGGTCCACCGTCTGCATTTCTCTTTGGGCCCTTCATAGGGCCAACTGGTTATGAAATAAGAAGGGTTGTACGTAGGCCCTCAGGAAAGATAAGACAATTTAACTGTAAGTCTACATAAAATATCCATTAAGATTATTTTAACTCAGGAGCTGGGTAGTTATTTTCTTCCAAAATGTGCTATGAATCGGGGCTGCCCAAGTAGTAGGCACACCAGCTCTGGGAACCTTGTTCACTTCCCCTGGTATCGGGGCTTTTCTCGTTCATTGTTTCCCGACATGTGCAGCATGTGGCAATCTGGCCACCACACGTTGCGTGGGAAGCAGCCTGTAGCTAATTGCCATTGGTCTGTCTACTAACAAGTGTTCGTCTGTACCGCAGAGGCCTTCCGCCAGATCTGTCCCTATGGAAGTGGCATCATTGTGGGACCTGATGATTCTGCAGTTGGTAAGTGGCCTGTGCTGGATTCCCAGCATTTCTTAATATTCTTAACTCTTCCCTGCCCTTTATCCAGCCATTCTTCCTTTTATTTTTTTTTAAAGATTTATTTATCTATGTATTTATTTGAGAGAGAGAGAGCTCATGAGCAGGGGGAGGAGCAGAGGGAGAGGGAGAGAGAGAATCTCAAGCAGACTCCCTGCTGAGTGCAGAGCCCGACATGGGGCTCAATCCCATGACCCTGAGATCATGACCTGAGCCGAAATCAAGAGTTGAATGCTCAACTGCCTGAGCCACCCAGACGCCCCTCCAGCTGTTCTTATTTCTCCACACTCATCTTGTAAAATAAAGCTCTACTTTTCATTTAGATACCAATTATATTATTGTACTGTATGGTAATATTGTAATATTAGATATTTCATTGATTAGATGCTGAAATGATCATAGTTTACCTTTGTGTTTAAAAAACAGTACCTTGTTATTCACTATTTTTTTTCTCCTTTGCATAAGATATGGACGAGTGCAAAGAACCTGATGTCTGTAAACATGGGCAGTGCATCAATACGGATGGCTCCTACCGCTGCGAGTGTCCCTTCGGCTACATTCTGGAAGGGAATGAATGTGTAGGTGAGTAATAGATCTGTTTCTTCCAGAGGGATTTTCCAAATTAGAAATTAGGCCATAGAGCTTTCATACTAGGAAGCATAAGTACCAGGATTGGGACAGAAGTAATTTTGTGCATTCATTCATGCATCATTCATCTGTAGTACTAGTTGAGTACCCCATGTCCCACGCTCTTTGTCTACAGCAGTGACCCAAGCCAACATGTTTCTTCCTTGCATGGACCTTACAGTCTATTGGGGAAGACACTGGACACATCTGAAGACATGGTGGAAAAGAAAACATTATCATCTATTTTTTAAATTAAAAAAAAATTAATGGTCATAATCTTATTCTCTCAATATGTAAAATACAACATTTATCCAGATTTTATTACATTTAGTAATGTGAAAGGCTATGTACATAGTGTAAACTCCTCGTTTTTGCTCTCTTACTAAAATTTCAAAGAATGGCTATGCCTGACCTTTGACCTCTTGATGCCTACTAACACAAAATTGAATCCAAGTATTATGTCTGTTCCTCTAAAATTTCACCCACAGCTATTACCATGAAGTGTAAGCAAATTCCTTAGTCTTTCTAAGCCTTAGAATGTCATATTATACAAATAGACTAACTTATTCCTAATTACCCTGCAGCTCTAAAACTCAATGATAATATGATTTTTATGAACTCAAAAGAGAGAAAATATTCTGGACAGTGAAATGCAATTTCATAGCAGAACAAAAGCAAAGTTGTCAATGTTTTCTCTTCAGAATCTTCAGTTAGTGCTCCTGTGTGCATGCTAAATGAGCCTGCTCACCGACGTCTCTCTACCACAGCCTCTTGCCTTCACTGTTTGACTCAGAACCCAACAGAAGATGTAACCCTGATGATAGTCCATCACTAGTCCATATCCTAGAGAACTAAGATAACAATGTTATTTCTCAAAAATTTCCCTTTCCCAAAGGAAGATACTCTCCCTCCAAGAAATGTGTCAGAAGGACAGTCAGGATTCTAGATGGATGGGTTGGGAGGCATAGATATTTTTTAGACCTCCTCGGTAAGACTTGTTCTCTCTCCACGGTTGTTTACAGAGATCATACCCTAAACATATTTCTTTCTAGCTTTTCTTCTGCCTAATGTAAACCATCTGGTTTCAACAGAATCAACAAAAAAATCTTCTTGAATCTTGATTTTATCCAGTGTATTAATTTTGCTTAACCTCTGGTCTCTCGTTTTGTGTAAGCTTAGTCTTCTATTTTATATCTGGCAAAAATCCATCATGTTTAAGGCTTTTTGGAGAATGATGTAATGTAAGGCCAGACTGGAGATGTATTTCTAGCTTTATGTAAGTGAAAACTTTTGACTTGTGAGAGCAGCCTTGTTTTAACCCTTGGAGCATCTATTCCTGGTCAATTTAGCTCTTCATACATAATATGGGAGGCTGGAGAAGCTCAGGAGAAGAGCACTAGGAGGGCTGGAAGCCCAGATACTGTCACTGTTAGTGCCACTGCCACTTAGCAGGTCAAATTTCACAGCTATAAATCTGTGGATAAGACACGTGCACTCCTTTCTTGTAAAGGCAGAATGAGGATCAAACAAGATGCCACAGATCAAAGTACCCCAATAGAGTGAGAGGTATTATTTGAGTCCAAGCCCATTTTTGTCTTCATTCATCATGTATTGAATACACTCTTGGTCACTTGCAGATACTGATGAATGCTCTGTGGGCAATCCTTGTGGAAATGGAACCTGCAAGAATGTGATTGGAGGTTTTGAATGTACCTGTGAGGAAGGATTTGAGCCTGGTCCAATGATGACTTGTGAAGGTAAGCCTCTTTGCAGAAAAGTTGTGGTTACATGTTCTAGTCATGGAGACAGTAGTTGGCTGATTACAGTTCTTGATACTAAATACCACTTAGGGCGTACAGAATAAAGAACATCTAGGCCTGATGGGCCATACCATTATTCTCCTGGTTCATGGCACAAATCACACTGTATAATATAGAGAGTTCTTTTTGGTGTCTCCCCATTACAAGTATTTAGATACAACTCCCATCTTGTTTGCGACCTTCTTTCTTATTTTCCATTTTTCCCTTCTTTTTCTTTCTTCATCTCCCATGCTCCCTCTCTTTTTCTTTTTTCTTTTCTACTCATAGAAACATCTGCACACTGACATAACCACCAACATCCTATAGCTATCTGGGGGCAATCACAGCAAAAGATGTTGTCTATACTCTGTAAGCATCTGCCAGTATGCCTAGTAGGATCAATGTATGGAGAGAAGGGAAGGAAAGGGAGTGTCTAGAACAGTGGGTCTCAAAGGATGGTCCCTGGATCAGCCACATCATCATCACCTGGGAACTTGTTAGAAATGCAGACTTTCAGGCCTCATCCCAGACCTCCTGAATCAGAAACTTGAAGAGTGGAGCCTAGCAGCCCTCCGGGTAATTCTGATACACTCTCAAGTCAAGACCACTGGTCACATAAGAGAATGAAGGTGAGGTGAAGGTAGAGGATAAAAGTGGTATGAAAGCGAGCTTTTCATTAGAGATAGGTCCTATTGATACCCATTGTCCTAGTTGTTGCTGAATCTTTAAAGGCTATCACTAAATATGATCTGGGGTCTCACTGATGTTCTCAGTCAGCATCCCTGGACTTAGAAAGAAACATGATAATCAAGATGGTCTGTTTTAACCTTGCTTTTCCAAAACATATTCTGCTGGTTCCAAACTTATGGAATCTGTAGAAATCTCTTTTATCTATTAATAGTAAAGTCATTCCTATTTAAGGTTAGAACTTGGGCATCAGTGTGAAAACTCTAAAGTGTAAAGTTATTCAGAATACCATTTGCTTAGGCTCAGGAATCACTGTTATTTCACAGGAGCCTCTTTTCTATGGGGAAGGGGATGTGGTTAACAATATTGGATGGGTCTGCTTCTGTTCTGACTGCAATTGAGTTGACAGTTGTTTTGACTGAATGGGGTAAAACTGATTCCCACACTATATGACTCTAGGGAATGGCAAGTGGTTAGCTTGACTCTTCAAAGCCAGAATTTCAGAAATGCTCCCTATATGTAGGGTGGTCTATAATTTCCCATCCATCTAAATAACATTGATAATTATACCAGGACAATAAGCCAGAACTGAGACTGTGCTAGGAGAACCAGGACCCACAATCCCCTTGCCCATACCAACTGTAAAATAACCAACTCATTTTATGCACCAAGCACCAAGACTGCTTGGTGCATCCATGTTGATGGCAATGAAGCATTTCAACTTTTGATAAAAATAGACTTTTTTTTGGTTGATGCTCATGATCCATTATTTTCATGCTCCCTTCTGTTGCAGATATAAACGAGTGTGCCCAGAATCCTCTGCTTTGTGCTTTCCGGTGTGTAAACACTTATGGGTCATATGAATGCAAATGTCCTGCTGGATATGTTCTGAGAGAAGATAGAAGGATGTGCAAAGGTGAGACATCCGTGTTAAAGGTCATCTAACCTGGGGGGCTCTCACTCTATCTATGATGGGAAATGTCTCTCCAAAGCATCTATCAGTAGAGAAAGGCTGGGAATCAGGGAACTCTGCTATACTCCATGGACAGTATGGGGGTCATCACTGCCCATAGTATGATAATATTAATTAAATTATATTTTTTAAATCCCCATCACTAAGGGATGTTATTTTCCAAGAATGGGGGTAGCATATGGAGTCTATTTTAGTTAAATAATTCCATTAAAAATGCTTACTGAGCGCCTACAATTACTGTGGCTCTGGACGAGGCTCTGCTGTACAAAGTTAGGTAAATCATGGGGCTCCTTGAAGAGCACGGATTTGCTCCTCCACGGTCTTAAATGAGCAGCTACTTGTTCTCTTCAGATGACCTAAATAGGATTTTTCTTGAAGGTGAACAGATTTCCTAACTAAGAGCTCTACATCACATGCAGGATAAGCCCAAATTTCTCAGCTCAGACCATGTGAAGGAGAAAGATAAAGAGAGGGAAATGCAATAGGACAATAAGGTATGGGGAAGACCTGTCCACACCAGAAGAAAAGAAATGAAGGAAGGAAGAACCAGAAGAGAATATGATATTTGTGAATGTTTGTCTTTTCCTCAAAGTATAAAAACTGAAATTTTCATTATACAATGATTATTCTAATCATATTAATAATCTAATCGTATATCATATTAATATTACATAAAATGATATTATATTATGTTATTATAATTGTTATATAATGGAAGCTTTGGCTTATTATACTATATTGTAATTATAATGCTGTTGTTATATTATGAAAGTTTTATAGAAGACCTTTTTAGGTGAATTCATCAAAAAGAAATTAACAATCATGCTTCCCACCTTTGAAGGGGTTACAGTTAGTTGGGGAATAATTTCATCATCAAGGTCAAAGTAGGTGAGAAGACTCCTTCCCAATCCAAGGAGGCCAGTGCCCACGAGACAAAAGGAAACAGGTTAACACTGAAAGAAGTGTAAATGAAAATTGATGACTTGATACCATCTCATGCTTAAAAGGCAGGAAATTAGCGCAGCTTCTTTTCTAATTCACGGGTGCACATTCTTTCCAGACGAGGATGAGTGTGAGGAGGGCAAACACGACTGTGCTGAGAAGCAGATGGAGTGCAAGAACCTCATCGGCACGTACATCTGCATCTGCGGGCCTGGGTACCAGCGGAGACCTGATGGAGAGGGCTGCGTAGGTAAGCAGGTCCTGGCCCAAGGAGCTTCGAGTGAGTCGGGTGACAAGGGACAGAAGTGACTTGGTGTCTGAGTCCTTGTGGGCAATGTGTTCTTCTTGGACAGAGCCATCTTCCCTCTGTTCCCTCATGTCACGGTTTCCCTTGGAGAGCCCCTTGCCTCTTGCTTATCTCTGAGTTCCAGAAGCATCATCATTCTCTCCCTCCGAGCCGGCCTTTGTCTACCTTCTCAGCCCATGTTGCTGCCAGTACTTGGCACCAGGTGTTTCCTCTACTTCTTTCCTTTACTCCTGTACTTTTTGTTGTTTCAGTCTAGGTTCTCTTCACCACATTGGAATGTCTTTCAATTGTCCCAGCATTGCTGTTAGCACCGACATTGAATGACGGATGCCCAGTCCCTCTGAACCAGGAATAGCATTAAACCAGTGGGCTCTTCCTGCAGGGAATCTGTTCTTGTCTAGAGTGGGGCCCTGGCCCTGGTACTTTTCAAAGCTTCCTAGGGATTGTAATATAGATCCTCCACTGAAAACCACAGCTTCAGACTAGGGATGGGCAAGTCACAGCCCGGGGGCCTGCAGCCTGCCGCCTATTTCTGTAAATTAAGTCATATTGCAGCATAGCCATAACCATCCATTCAGACATTGTCCATGGCTCTTTCATGCCACAGTGGCAGAGCAGAAGAGAGTGAAGGCAACAGAGACCATATGGCCTGCAAAACCTAAAATAGTTATATATAATACAGTAATACTGTAATAGTACTACAGTTTAAAGTAAAAGTTTCCCAACCTCTGGTTTGAACAATCAGTACAGGAGAAAATTATTAGAAAGTTCCCACATGCTTCCTTTCCATTTTTAATAATCAATGATGCCAGAAAAAGAAATCTGATGTTGTCAGTCAAGAAGCTCAAGAATCTCATTATCCCCTTACCTTGTAAAATACAGAATTAAACAGTAATTGAAGAGCAGATTTTAAAAGCACAGAAAAAGCATTTGGACATAGGAGCACACACCAACTCTTCCAGGCTCAGTGGTTCTCAACCTCAGCTGCCCACTGGAATCACTTGGAAAACTCAGGTCCCACTCCAGACGCTCTGATTTAATTGGTCTGGGGATGGCGTGGGTATCAGGATTTTTAGCCTGTTTCAACAGTCCTGTAGCTGTCACCTTCCAACTCTGCTTCTCATTATGAGATCTCTGCCTCGGGGGCTCAGAACTATTCTGCAGGGGATGCACCTAAGCAAGTCACTTTATTTATGATCTTTCTAAAAAAATCATTAGAATGGGACGCCTGGGTGGCTCAGTCTGTTAAAAAATCATCAGATAATTCTAAGAATCTCCAGTTTGTCTTAATGCTTTTTTTTTTAAACCTGAGACTGGATTATGATTATTTCTCAATAATATTGTTAAAGTATTACAATAAATGTAATCTATGTTGAACTGGAAGATTATATGTAGACCAATTCTCAGGTCAAAACTGACCCATCACAGACAGTATTCTGATGAAGTATTATAATATTTCTCTAATGTGTGATCTTTTTTTTTCCCCCTTCACTTGAAATAATCCTTTGGGAATCCTTTTTATGGACAGATATAGAAAATTGTAACTTTATCAAGTGGAAAATGTATGTGTACCTAAATTGCAGTCATCTACATTTAAGTATATCAAAATGCCATCAAGTATGTTTTTTAAAGGACAGAGGTATACACACACACACACACACACACACACACACACACACATTTGCTTGTATGTGCCAAATCCATTTCTAGGATACGTGAGAAACTGGCAGTAACACAGGGTTGGCTCCCAGGACGGGAGTCTGGTGGATGAGGAAGAAGGGAGGAAGGGGCACTTTTGCTGAATCCTCTTATACCTTTTGAATTGGGAACCACGGGAGACAGCTACCTATTCGCGAACTAAAAAAAAGAAAGACTCCATCCTTGCGCAAAGGGGTGGGATGACTGCTCTTGTGTTTGCTCTTTCCACGAAACCCCACAGATGAGAATGAGTGTCAGACCAAGCCAGGCATCTGTGAGAACGGGCGCTGCCTCAACACGCGGGGCAGCTACACTTGTGAGTGCAATGCCGGCTTCACCCCCAGCCCGGCTCAGGACGAGTGCCTTGGTGAGTGCAGACGACCGGATGCTTGCACAGCACCCCCACCCCCGCCTTCATGCTGGGACACTTGGCACCCCAATCTCTCATCTGAAATCATAGAAATGGTTAAAATTTGAGGCAGGTTCCTATTTTGGAAGGGACTTAATGACTGCGATTTGTCCATGGGGCTCAGCACCACCCCGCAGCTGAATTCTTCCTTTGCTAAGTGTATCAATGAATCACTCGTTTGGAATTTCGTTCTCCGCTGCCTTTTGAAGCCCTTGGTGCTGAGGATCTGTTTCTGTGTGTTTTTCTGCTCCTCTCTCTCGATAGCATGACCACTCCTCCGTATTTCAGGGAGCAGAGAGAGTTGTCACCTTGCGTGGGCCACTTACTGAATTTCTTGTCTTGTTTCCCTCAGACGTCATCCTTTCTCTCTTACTGCTGTTTCCAGCTTTCCCTTCTCGCTTCTCCTCACCCAGGGTAAAGTGTTTACATCCTTTTTGGGTTTTATATTTGACCACATTCTTAATATATTTTGTCATGCTCATCAAATTCCCTGAAGTCCCCTTTGCGATATAATGTCCCTTCCAGACAACCGGGAAGGGTACTGCTTCACGGAGGTGCTCCAAAACATGTGTCAGATCGGCTCAAGCAACAGGAACCCTGTCACCAAGTCGGAATGCTGCTGTGATGGAGGAAGAGGCTGGGGCCCCCACTGTGAGATCTGCCCCTTCCAGGGCACTGTGGCCTTCAAAAAACTCTGCCCCCATGGCCGAGGATTTATGACCAATGGAGCAGGTACTTCCTTGCGTTCTGACTTATGACCAGTGGAGCAGGTAACACTTATGGTCCAAAAATACTTGCAGGGAATCTGCTTGTTTGTTTTATGAAAAACAGTTGAGAGTACGGAATCTGCAGTAGGGGCTTAGGCTGAGCGCATGCTTGATGTCAACCGAAACCCTTTATTATGGTGTTTTAGATGTTCAAGGCCAGGTTGCCAAAGCTGTGTGTGCTTGGGCTCCTGCCTCTGCATCACAAGGAGTCCCCAAATTTTTAAACAGAAGTTTGTTGTAAGTCAGTTATTGGTTACTCAGAGTGTCAATTTGTTAGAAAAACCATGGCATAAATGATCCCTAAATTCCTAGACTAGTCCACCAATATGCATTTTAACTCGTAAAATTGGCTGAAATATGCTGCATGAAGGAAGTATAGACAATGCTGATATTCTGGCAATTAAGACCCAGTTGCCTCTGGAAAAGCACCTGCTGCTTTCACCTGGGAGACGTGGGGAGGCTGTCGCAGTGTGTGAGGCTGCTCCGGAGAAGCTCCGGGCCTGTGATCCTCAGCAGCAGCTGCGCTTGTTTCCAGCCTCGTAAACGAGAAGGGAGAGAGACTTCTCCAGCTCCTTGGGAAGGAATCAGAAGGGAGAGGGGAGGAAGGAGAGTAAGTAGGGTTTGTGTGGATGTTGGAAAGATGTGGCTAAAGGTAGAATCACAGAACTGGATGTGGGAAGACACAGAACTAGATTGGACGGGGTGACCCAAAAGCAACTGATGTTTCTTCCAAGGATGAGAAAATGAGATGGTGGAAAAGACTCACTTCTCGAGACCAGGGAGGGCAGGCAAAATTGCATTTCAGAGGAAACTCAAAAGAATTAGGATAAATAACATCTGTTGGTATAAAATGATCGTTTGGCAATCGAAGGCTAAGAACTCATTTGGTATTGGCACCACACCGAGCAGTAAGGAGATAGATGGGTCACAATATGGAAGGACAGCTGCTTCAGTGCTCGACAGTGCATAGAGACCAGATCTTTCTCCCTGTGGTGGAGCTGTGAATAAGGCTCTCTCTTCCTTATCAGGCTTCAAAAACCCCTGCCCGGGGATCCACCCCAGAGCCCTAGTGCTTCCCTCACCAAAGGAAGTTTGGTCCCATTTCCCCAATATTATACAGTTTGAGATTTTTCAGGATTAACTTTAAATACAGCAAAAAGAATGGAAGGAAACTTTCCTCCTTATTTTGGACATGCACTGTTAGAAAAAAATGGGATTTTTCTTGTCAAAAGAGCCTACTGCTGTGAGCCATTTATGAGATGTCAGTAGGAGGCAAGCTTGATGGCATGAGATAGAGCAAGGAGCTGAATATGTCTGGATGAGATTGGTGTCCATGGACCCAGAGGGAAAAACTATACATTTAGAAAACCGATTATCTTTAAAGTGTTCCCCTGGCCTGATGAGTTATTATACTGTCGTCCAGTGCAGTTATTCATTTGCCTTTCAGGACAATTACCATTACCTATGAAATGGATGCTGTCATCCCTTTGTTTTAATTTCTTAGGTGCATGAGATAGTAACACAATTTATTAGTATTTACAGTAAGGTCACCCCTACATACTGATGTTGCCCATTTTATAGTGTCTTTCTTAATCTCTGTTTGTTAAATTAACAGATATTGATGAATGCAAGGTTATTCATGACGTTTGTCGAAACGGGGAGTGTGTCAACGACAGAGGATCCTATCATTGCCTATGTAAAAATGGCTACACTCCAGATATAACTGGAACTTCTTGTATAGGTAAGTGCTCTGTTTTTGGTGTCCAGGTTTATTCTGAGTGGAAAGTGTACATTATGGGAAGAAATAAAAAATCCTCAAACCAAACATCTAAAAAGCTTCTATAATTTCATAGGAAAACCTAAGACAATGAAGTTATTTCTTAGACCCTATGGGTACTGAGCATCATTTTAGATGGACAGTCACACAGTATCTTTTTGATCATAGATCTGAATGAGTGCAACCAGGCCCCCAAACCCTGCAATTTTATCTGCAAAAACACAGAAGGGAGTTTCCAGTGTTCCTGCCCGAAAGGCTACATTCTGCAGGAGGATGGAAGGAGCTGCAAAGGTAAAGTAGAATTTGCCTGCACCCACTCACCTGCCTCCTGGGCACATTGTTGCATTCCCTGTGCATTTGAGGAATCCATAGGCAAGCTCTCCACAGGCAAGAAGTGCTTCCCTGGGGTTAGTGCCTCCCTGGGATCTCCCTGCCACCCACTTCCTGTGGTGGATGGCTGGAGGCTGAGGCCAGGAAGATTGCAGCAGGGGGTGGGGTGGGGTGAGGGGGTGTGCAGTGGCAGCAGGAGCCATTCTCAATGCCTGCCCCTTGGGTGTCCATGGGGGCTGCCCATGAGGGTCTCAGAGACTGTGGAGCCAGATGTCTAAGGCTCAGGTGGGGCAGATTCCTAATTGACTACTTCCTTTCTGCTTTCTATTTATTCTATTGATGTAGTCAAGCTATTCAACAACTATAGAGCCCAAGTCTCTGGCATTGTCCTGCCTCAGATTAATTGGTGCCTAGAAAACACTGTGCCTAATTAAGTAAACACTTTTTCTAGGTTTTTGTTCTGCTAAAGAGGGCCATTCCTGCCCTCCCTACCTTATCTGGGTGAGCCATAAATATCACAAAGAATTAAGAAACAGCAGAACTCTATGCAGAAATCCCTCTTCAACCAGAAGTTATCCTTTGCAAAATTCTGTTGGTGTAAATTTACTCCTAGAAATATCTTCCTCAACAGTAAGAATTTCACATATTGAGTGAATAGCACAAGTAAATCAAACTTAAGGGTAATTTTTAAAAGGAGGGATTTGGAGAAGGATGTGGAGACCAGATGGCAGAACAAGAGTTAGAGCGTTTCTACTATGAAGCCTTGACAGCGTAAAAGGAAAGTAAGGGAAGTTGAATGGTGAGGTAGAGTGGAAGTGGAGAGCAGAGGGAAGTAGGACCCTCAACCCCATTCTTGTGTCGTCTGCTGGAAGGAGAGAGTTAAGAGACTTGTAACATAGGATGACAGAACAAACAATGCCTGAGGTTTTCCTATGCAGCACAAATCCTATATAATCCTATAATTTGGGGAGAGGAAGTTGAGAGACCTACTTAAAAATTCTAGCTTAATAAAAGAGTTGTTTATAGCTTTGTTCTCCTCAAACATAGAACTTATTCTCCATCTGTGGATCACAGTGAGCTCTGGGCAGTGTGAGGCTATAACTCAGAGCCGTAAACTTATTCATGTAAATAGAGAACCAAATTAGAAAATCTCTCATTGTGTATGTTATCTGCACCAAGCAAAACAAATTTACAGCATTTTTCCAGCCTGTGGGGGCAGAAAAATCCTCAAAAATGTCTAGCAATTAAGAGATGAAAAATGGAAAGTAAATGTATAGTGGTAAGTGTTTTTTTACAATGTGTCAAATGCACCAGTGATGCTCTCTTTATGGTTTTAGGAGTGGGCAGAGCAGCAATGGGATTCTTACAGATCCCCTCACATGAGTCCCTTTCTCCTGTTGTTCTCATGGGGTCTAGATTCTTCCACATACTTGGCATGTAGGACTAAAGATCAAACCCAGTGGTGCAGATACATGTACTATTGAAACTGACAGGAAAGAGGCTCAAAGGATAGCCCAGGGGAGATGTGGGACCAGCACTTCCCCCATGAGAGCCGGGTAGCATCCAGATAAGAGAGAAGGGGAGATAAGATGTTCTTGGAGATGAGAACAGCAAGTGTTGCTGTTAGAAAACAGTGTAAGAGACCGCTGAGCGGTCTCCCTCACCTGTGTGCAGGTAAGCTTCAGCAACCATGGGACGGTGCTCTAGCAGGGCCCCTTGGGTCAGAGAGAGGGGAGGCCACCCCACTGGCAGGAGGCGCAGAGCCGCCAATCATGCAGAAACCAGTAAAGCAGGAACAGCAGGCCCCGCAGTGGTGGAAAGAGCACAGGATTGGCTGCATTTTAAGAGAAGTCAGCACTGGGAGAAATATGGGGGCTTGGGGGAGTTCTTTTGGTTGAGGTCCACGCCAGGTGTTACCCTAGCCAGCAACTGGCACTCCTCTGCAGCTTCGAGCACAGCTGTGTGTGCGGTGACCAGACAAGGCTGCGAGGAAGCAAGAGAAAGAGGGAGGGAAGAAGGAAGGAGGACAGAAGGACGGTAGATTGGTTCCTGGATACACCATGATTATTTGTTGTTGTTGTTATTGTTAAAATTCAACTAAAAGCTGGAACATACTTTGTATCTCTTGAGGTCTTTAAATAGCAATGGAGTTGAGAATGAGCCTGGCAGTTCCGGCAATGAGGAAAGAAGCCTAGTCAAAGTGGAGGATTTTATTGAGTTATGGAAAACAATGTGGGATAAATACTGTAGGCAGTTTTTAAATGTGCTCTTAGCTTATCAGAGTGAGGTTTTTTTTTTTCTTCCCTTTGTTTCCTTCTTGATTGCTCAGTTTCGTTTTAACCAAAGGAGACTCTCTAAGAAAAGAAATCCTTTTGGTTGGATTTGGTTTGGTTGAATACCTCATTTGAGCAGATTCAAAACCGTGAACGTAAAAGGGGAAAAAAAAAAAAAAAAAAGAACTAAGCAAACAAATTAATTTCCAGCCTCAACATTTCTTTTTGCATTTCAACTTGAAGAGATCTTTTCAATGCTTTGGAAAATTTTGAGAATCCCTAATCTTTTACTTCGTTTTATAGTTTATTTAAAATGTCACAATTTATTTGAAATGCCTTTGTTGAGACATTCCTGCATTCCTCTAGTGAAAGGGAATTGGGATTTCCTTGGATCCCCAAGGAGCTACATTTTTTGGTCTCCATGGAGCGCACGTTTCATCTTCCAAACCCTTACCTCCTGGGTTCCTCCTAGCCATATGCCGCGTGGCTCTTCTGGCCAGGGTTATTTGAGACGTACAGGTCAGTTCGACCCCGATCCTCATCTTACATTTTTCACAGATCTTGACGAGTGTGCCACCAAACAACACAACTGCCAGTTCCTGTGTGTGAACACCATCGGCAGCTTCACGTGTAAATGTCCTCCTGGATTTACGCAGCACCATACCGCCTGCATCGGTAAGTGGGACAGGAGAGTGCCCTACCAGAAATGTAGCTATCCCTTTAATGAGTTGTTTCCTAGTTCCTCTGCTGTTGGAGTAAGAGGATAAAAAAGTCAAAAAAGAATATGTGAGTACATGTGTGCGCACGCGCACCTGTACGTGAAAAGTTATTGGCCTTATTTGGCCTTTTCTGAGTGAATCCTCCCTCTCTCTTCCTTTTAAACAACACAGAGGGAGCTTCAGTGGATTTTAATTCTTTTCCCTCACCGCTTCTTCTAGATAACAACGAATGCACTTCTGACATCAACTTGTGTGGGTCTAAGGGTATTTGCCAGAATACTCCTGGGAGCTTCACCTGTGAATGCCAGCGGGGGTTCTCACTCGATCAGAGTGGCGCCAGCTGTGAAGGTGGGTAGGGTCCTCAGCTTGATGCAGCTGCTGGGCCCTGGGGGAGGCAGTCTGTGTGACTTTCAAACTCGTCGTTCTCCTCCTCTATGAGATCTCAGAACTGAGCACGGGGAGAACTGAGCAACTGAAGATGGGAAATATTTTGCCGGGTTGGCACAGGTATCATATCATAGAGGTCCATCTTTGGTCTTCATGCTTGACCAGGTCTGTAACATGTGCCTTCCCTCCATATCTCAAGGTTTTTTCTGCTCAGTAAGTAGCGTAACCTACTAGGGCATGAACTAGTCAAGAAAAATAGCTCGGTTCCCGAATTTGATTCATTCATATTCTAGTCACTGGATCCAGAGTCCTAAAAGGATTCCCCTAAGTGGATTAAATATGCAAAGAATACCTCTTCTGATACTATGTAATTAAAATTCTAAATTATTTTTTTAGGATTTCCTTTCTGTCTTGACATCTTTGAGCTTCTGATCCTGGCACAAAGGAGCAAATACAAATGCTTCCCACAGACAGCTATCCCATAGAATGCTCTGGGGCCTTACCTTAATGTCTTCATCATTTCCATTTGTAGGCATTGGCAGGAATGTCGAATGTTTTCTCCGGAGCACGTATTTTTGTCGTTTTGGTGGCAGAATAATTTTTGGGGGGAGTGGTCAGATGCCTTACTGGAATTGCCCCTCCCTTCCTTTTCAGACGTGGACGAGTGCGAAGGGAACCACCGCTGCCAGCACGGCTGCCAGAACATCATCGGGGGCTACCGGTGCAGCTGCCCCCAGGGCTACCTCCAGCACTACCAGTGGAACCAGTGTGTGGGCAAGTAGTCTTTCCTGGGCACGATGTCTCCCCCAAGTCCAGATGGTGCTTGCTTTCTGAAAACTTTAAACCCGCCGTTAGACCAACGAGGAGTCCTTTACCATCGCCCTAACCTGCTTGAAACCAGAGGAGAGTTACAGCCTTTGCAAAACAGCAAACTGAGAAAAAAATATAACGACGAAGGGTACTTTGAGGACATCGGAAGTGAAATGCCCCTAGAACTCCTTCACTCTCCGCATCCCCCCTCCCCACCCCGCTCTTCGGCTGTGGGTCGCCATTGGCCCACGCTGGGGTTCTGTTCGCAGGAGGGCCAACAAAATCCTACCGCTCCCTGAAAAGGGACTTTGGGCCTGCAGGCACAGAAGTGGTTCCATTCAGCTCTACACATCTCTTAGGGCAGAGTGTAGGCAGCAGACATGGCAAGTTTTTTCAGGTTGCTAAATTCTTTTGAAAATTAAGGGAGATCCACAGACTCATTAAACTGAAATTATGTCATTTTCGATCCCATAATGTCATGGGAAAGTAACTCTAAAGGCACATTAGAGAATTCAAACACTGAGTTTAGAGGGACCCCCCGATCCATCTAGCCCAAGCTTTTGGTTTTACCAGAAAGACCTCAAAGCCCAAGGAGGAAAAGTAATCTGTCCTTAACCTGGTTCCTTCATGAAACGCCTGGAGCTAGAACCTCAGGCTCTTAGCTTCCTGATTTAGGGCTGCCTTTCAAGTGTTGAGTCCACTCATTTTTTTTTTTTTTTCATTCACCAAGTATCTGTGCAGCACCGTGGTAAACGTGGTGCGCAGGTGACCTGTTCTAGCTGCCACACTCTTGGGTACAGAGGCCTCCTTAGCAAAGACGCAAGGATTACTGTCTCCCGGGTGCTGCTCCACTTTACTCCAAATGAAGATATATTTGGTGTGTTTTCATTTATCCAAACTGCATCTCTCTCATTTGGCTTCTTTTCAAGACACCATTTTGGAGGCGTGAGTAGGGTTGGCTCAAAGGACACCAGTGCTGGAAGAGTTTAGACTACACCACTTGCTGACCAGCCCTCCTCTCTTCCTACCTTCAGTCCCGGGATAGTGGAGATGGTCAGGTCATGTCTTCGTTACCTGGAGATTCTACTTTGGCCCCGTGAAGATCATCTCCTGGCTGGGAGTTCTAGAATAAATTAAGAAGTTGGAAGAGGTTTGGGGGGTTTCAATGCCCAAAAGATACTAGCCCAAACTGGGCTCATAATTCTTAAGAATTATAGCTATCCAGAATGAGTATTGCCTTGGGCCAGAATGGCTTTCCCCGGAGCCATGCAGAGAAGAGCAGATCTTTTGGACCGGCCCTCTCTGGATCCTTACTCCTGGGCAGCCAGAATTTCACTCTTAGAAGATGGATGCGTTTGGAGTCAGGGGCCACTGGATCTCATTGTTTTGTGGAATATATCAAGCCTGCAGCTGCAGTTGGAGTTGAGCCATGTTGACCTAGAGAAAATTTATAAAAGAAAGCCCATCCTACATTTTGGAATTCTCCTAGCCATTCTCCCTTCACAGCATGGCTAACATACACTATGCAAGCCTAATGCTGCCACCTTTGATTTTAGAGGACAGAGTGGATAGGTTTCAGTCTAAGTTTAAGGAGGGTTTTTTGGAGAATCTAAGGCTGTTTCAATAAAATTAAAATATCTCTCTTTTTATAAAAATGACAAAACCCTCCCCAATTTTGAGTATTGACTGAGAGTAAAACAAAGATTTTGGAGTACATAAAAATTGCCATTGGAGCCATTTGCTCCAGAGGGCACAGGATGAAAAAGGTCAGGAGAGTGCAAAGCATGGGAAACAAACCGTGTTTGTGTACTGATGAACAGGGTGAGTGCAGAGACTCTTTTCAAGCAGTAAACATTGAATATTTGCCAATTTCTTATCTTAATCCCTGTTCTGCTTGACCCTAGCTCTCTAACATAGATAAGCAAGTTTAATTTAAACTTTGTTAGATTCTCAGAGAGTTAAAAAAAAAAGTGAAGTAAAATAGAAAAGAATGTGAAAGGGGAGGAGAGAGTTCTTGACTGGGATGGATATTTATAGTAACATAGATAGATGCTCAAAGCTAGAAAGAGCCTTAGAGATTATCTAGTCTGACCTCATTCCTAAAATATAAATCCTTCCCCAACCTCCAGGGTTGTCCAAGTTTGACTTGAATACCATCTTGAAGGGCATTCACTTTCTTGGAAATATTTTTTTTCATAGAAAATGAACTGTTCCTCCCTCCACTTCTAACCCGTTTCTGTCCTTTGGAACAATACAGAATAAATCTAAGTTTTGTGTTGATGGGTCCTGTCCTTCATATACAGACATGGGCCTTAGAGATTTTATCTATCAGAGTCCTGTCAGGAAACCAATGGCTAAGCCCAACCCAAAAGCACAGGACGAAGGAGAGGAGCCTGTTGATGCTCCATGCAGGTCAGCCTCCGGGAGCTGAAAGCAGGTGTAAAGTCTGGAGATAGACATGGAAGGACAAGGAGAAAACATCCAGTCCAGGGATAGTTTTTCCACCAAAGTAATTGCCCTCGGTTCCTCATTCACTCTTTGGTGCCCATGGTCTCTGTTGGTATCTATTGCACACTTCATCTCTGATTTAAAGTAAGGGGAAAAGAACAAAGACAATGGCACATTTAATTATTTCCCTTGTAGGAACCTTGAATCCTAAATGACCTTGGGTGGATACTTGAGAGTCCCTGGATATAAAGAATCCTCAAACAAACCTGTAGCTAGGCACTGAGCTGTAGCAGGCAGCTCAGCACATGGCTTTCTTACTGTGTATCTATTCCTTCCACACAGGAAAGAAAGAGGAAAGGGAGAGAGGAGGAAGGGAGGATATTATACATATGCAAGCACCCTGCTCCCACCATTTTTACCCACCTGTTTTTCTAATTTTAGAACAGATCTTTTCGGGGCGCCTGGATGGCTCAGTCGGTTAAGCGTCTAACTCTTGATCTTAACTCAGGTCTTGATGTCAGGGTCGTGAGTTCAAGCCCCACACAAAGACAAAGGAAATACCAGTTTAAATGGCACTGAGTCTCGAGAGACACTAGCATGAAGGCAAGCACACGGCTTCTGCCATCAGACAGCTCTGGGCGTGCATCTCTGCCCTGCTGCTGGGAGATCTCGGAGGGGCTCTCGGAGCCTTGCTTTCATCATCTGTAAAACAGGGATTAGAACACCTATCGCCTGTGATTGTTGGGAAGGTCAAGTAAAGGAATGTGAAGCACCCCGCACTCTGTCACGCAACGGGCATCTAATAAACGTCAGTTACATTTCCCCTCCTCCCTTGCATTGGAAGCGTTTGCTCAGTGAGGCCAAGGCCAATCTGTGTGCATTCAAATGAACATATGCCTGAAAGTGGGCTATAGCGATTAAGGAAAGTTTTACCAGCAAGCTTCCAGCCTGCCCTATAGAGGCAGGCCTACAAAAATAAATTCGAGATTTCAAAAAGGTATAAATTAGAAATAGTGAGATACTCAAGGTTTTCTCCCTCAAGTCGATTTTTTAAAGTTAGATTTCTTTTTCCTGCTTTTTACTGTCAGACTTGGCAGGTCCCTGTGGGTAGCCAGTCCTGCAGCATCTGTCTCTATTGTGGGTTTTTTCCAATTATTGCTTGTGAAGTCTGCACTGAATCTCTTCCAGCCATACTTTGCTTTAGACACGGCCCAGACACTCTGGGCAGGAGGCTGGTTTGGATAAGGGGGGGCCCATCCAGAGATGGGAGCAGACATACCAGAAGGCACTATTCATCCCCAGGACAAGCACCTGGGGGCTTTTGCAGATTTTTGAAAAGGAAGTGCAAGTGGGGCGGACACTTCCTGCAGGATGGCAGCCCTTGCCAGCCCTGCACATCTTGAAAGAGGAGGACTGGGAAAGCAGCCTCCGGGAGTACGGTTGCTCCCTGATTTGGAGACTGTTGTCCCGCTCACAGAGAACTGCAGGGCTCCTTCCCTCCTGCCCTGAACCTTGAAGCTTAGCTAGGAACCAGCCCCGCGTGCTTCACAGGAGGCTCGTGCGGCATGGAACATACTAGTGTTGGCTTCAGATGAGACCTGGAATCTGTCGGTCCCCCGAATGCCATCCTCTAATGCACTCCACCTGGTGTGTTTGACCTCATCGACCACGTTTGCTCACCACGTGGCAAGAGGCCACATCCATTTCCACAGCGTGCTCGCTCTCGCTCTCCCTCCCGCTCCCTCTCCCGTCCCTCTCCCCACCCCAGCCACCTCGGCCTGCCCTACCCTCCGCAGGGCCAGCAGAGGGCCTGCTGGCCCGCAGTGCCCGGTGGACGCGCCCGGCCAGTGTCCCACATGCGGTGTGTTCTGGTTTTCCCTGCAGACGAAAACGAATGCCTCAGCGCACACATCTGTGGAGGAGCCTCCTGTCACAACACCCTGGGCAGCTACAAGTGCATGTGCCCCGCCGGCTTCCAGTACGAACAGTTCAGCGGAGGGTGCCAAGACATCAACGAGTGCGGCTCTGCGCAGGCCCCCTGCAGCTACGGCTGCTCCAACACGGAGGGCGGCTACCTGTGTGGCTGTCCGCCTGGTTACTTCCGGATAGGTCAAGGGTAAGCACTGCTGGCCCTGCTCCTGACCTCATGAAGGGATGCAACTCCCACTGACCCATCGGGTTGAGGAGAGCCATCCTTTCATAGTCCTAGAGTTCATTCTGGTTAGCTCGGCAAAGGGTTTAGGCTATTTCACTTGAAAGGAGGCATCAAGATTTCTGCAAATTCATAGACTATGAAACTAATTGTAAATACCTTGATACAGGTTTTCTCGGTCTCATTCTCTTGATCTTCTTGCTGAAAATGGATTCATTTCTCCAGAAATGCAGGGACTGACCCAGACCGGGACAGGGCTCACACTGCACATCGCTGATCCACCCTTCTCCTGGGGCAAGCAGGGTTCAGTCTTGACTTAAAATGCCTTCTCATTAGAGAACATTATATGTTAGCATAAATCACAAAGATACCTGGTTTTAAAGTATACTTTACACCTCAGACTTAAGTTTACATTAAGAATTATCAAAAGAGCATGAAACAGGACTTAAAATAATTATTGTATGCTCCAGGGAGAATACTTCACCACATTGTAGGTGTGAGTGTTGGGGAAGGCAAGACGTATTTCTATCTTACTCAGTAATTTGAAAGTTTAGTGGTAAGTTTTCAAATGTGGGTCTTTTTCGCTGCTGACTTAATCTAGACTTGGATGTCCATCTACCTTTGCCTGTCCTGTTAAGAATTTCCGTATTTCCCTTTTTAATTAGAACACACAGCACCGAAATAGACATACACACATATGCAACCACACATACACAGACACACCCCACAAATCACATTCCATAACACATACATACATGTATGTATCAAATATATCAAATTAATTTAGTGACCTTTAATTTCTTTTTTTTTTATTCTTACGTTAATCCCCATACATTACATCATTAGTTTTAGAAGAAGTGTTCCATGATTCATTGTTTGTGCATAACACCCAGTGCTCCATGCAGAATGTGCCCTCCTCAATACCCACCACCAGGCTAACCCATCCTCCC